GAGCTAATAATTTGGAAATTGCTGACCCAGCATATGAGTCATATAATATTATGCACGCGTAAATGAGGTAGAGCGAACCTTGAGCGAATGTTCTTGAAAGTTCTCGTGCTACTGCATGCGTAGATGAGACAAACTTAACCTTGAGCGAATTTGGAAATTGCTGACACAGCAATGATACTATACAGGGTGGGGCAATAACTATGTCCACTTTGAATATTGCCGTTATTTGTAGTAATATGAAAAAATGTTATATATAAAACTTACACGGTATAGAGGGGGACTTATTGTGACACAAACATTTTCTGCGTGGGTGAAGGCATAGAGGAGATTTCAAGGTCATCTCTATTTTTTTTAATGGAATGCTATGTTTTTTTTATCGCAATGTGATAGCCGGTGTTGAGACAACTTTAGCCAGCTATCATTGAAGGTCATGCAAGGTCAAATGTGCTAGTAATGTAAACTTTCTTACATTACAGAAGATGCTCGAAGTGGTGGCCGTTTGCGTCAATGCAAAGTTGCATCTTCGTATCGTTTCTGAATTTATTCTAGCACATGCTGTATTATTTCATAGGGGACTTTATTAGAAAATGTACGGTTAGAAAATGTATGATTTATTAAATTTCCACTGAAATGTCAAGAAACAATAGTACAGAAAAGTGTTGTGCCTATTTATTTATTTTACAGATTACATTTGTTAACAAGAAGATATGAACAAAATGTGTTATGCCATTATATCATTTTTTTTAGAAAACAGTTGTTTGTCCGAAATAATCAACAGATGTTATTTAAAGTATATTTGGCATTTATTTTCGTATTGTTTTTTTTCGGGTATTAAGTTTTATTTTAGTGAGTAAATATGAATTTAGTAAAATTTTAATTCCATGTTAATTTATTAGATATCTAATCTGAATTATCACATATAAGGTTCTGCGAAAAGCATGCTGAATTATATTTAATCTGTTTAAAAACGGAGAAATACATATTTACTATTAGCTAAACTTACAAATATTGTTAATAAAACGTCACTCGTGAAACAGGACTCATTATTTCTTTTATTTCCTTTTTACCAAAATCTAATAATTTGCTCACCTAGTAAAAATCTAGTAATTTGCTCAGTCAGTGATTCGAACGTTGTATCATCTTATCATTTTTAAATGCGATATATCCTAGTAATTAATGACCCTTTTTCTTTAATACCTTTTCGTATAGTAATATTACCGAGACACAGAGGAAGCTCGGGCATAGATTTGTGTGTTGTCGGATACCGGAAAACGTCGAGTAAACAGAATATTGATTTTACAGGCGCGTATATTCAACCGCCGTAAATTGATAACATTAAATTATTCACTGATAGTGCAACTACCAACTGACGTTCGGCACAGTCATTAAACTTCTGAACAAATACATATGTAGAAGAAGAATATTAATACAGTAACCGTGAAAGTCATTTAAGTCACCAATCGTGTTTTATCAGTATCTGTCATATGTTTATGTAATTGGGAACAAAATAGTTTTTGTTATTCATAAATCTACTTTTCGAAATTTATTCGTTGCACAGCAAGTCATCGATGAGTGTTTGAAGGCTTCTCGACACTGACAATGAATGTTCAGACATCATCCCCACCACTGGGGGCTTGACTTCCACAGAGAACCCGCCCTCCTAGTGGTAGGGGAGGCGTCTGAACACTCATTGTCAGTGACAATGAACCTTCGAACACTTATCGATGATTGACTGTATATCAATAGTTTATGCACATGCTTTCTTCTTCCTTGTTCGATTCTTTGTATATTTGCGTCAAGATAAAGTTAATATCATATTACACCAGGTGTCCCACCTAAGGTATCCTTTAGTATCTTACTTGCTTTTGATTTGCAGAATATTGATTTTAATAAATGCTTAAAGTGATGTCCATCAACTTTGATACATTTTTGTACTAAACCCTCTATCGTAATTATTTTGTTATTTATATCTACTCTTATATTTTTGTAGGATATTTCGTACTCAAGGTCACATGAAGGTTACACTATTACAGGTCATTGGATTGATCTTGATTCCTACTATTACGCCACGCGGATAAAAATATGTAGTACCATTAAAAAAAACACCGATGAACTTGAAATTTTGAAATATGACCTTGAGAAAAATTTTTTTTAGAGTAGTATTTACTTCTAACCACATCATAGTTTCTCTTCACATTTTTTTGTATCTTCCAAAACAAGTGAGATTTTGAAGGTGCTCTCGTTTGGCGAGACACCCTGCATTGGATATACCGGCAAGTAATCCATCATTTTTGTCCCTAAATTCAATGTTCATTCTCAAGATTGGAACACATTTAACCCCTTGAGCAATTGTGTCGTATACATGCCTTATGATTAATCAACGTCAATATACAGCAGTAGGAATGGCAGATATATTTGCAATATGACAATTTTTCAAAATAATTTCTTAAAGATAAAGATTTTTTAAGTTCCATACATTCTTTTGAAACAACAAATATTTAAAAAAAACATAGCTATCAATGACAGTAACAAAAGAAGAGACACAAAAATATACGTTGAAAATTAATAGTTATTTGATATAAATTTATTTACAACGAATTATCTACCTACTATACATTTTAAACTGCTCTGTACAGATTAGATTAGTATTCTTCGTGAAACATAATTCGTGTGTCCTGCAATTTTCAAAAATAATGTTACACTTGTTCAGTAAACTCTGCACGATTTCTCAACTGAAGGCATTTTAATATAAATGATATTAATCAAGATTTATACTAAAGAAAAGACTGTCAATTCTAGTTTGTGTCAATTCACAAATTTCGTCGAAGGGTTAATTTGTAAAACAGCAAATTTTCGCCACCTCCGTGCAATGCTTAAATAAAAAACTGTTCAAAAAGCTGACACCGGCTGAACGCCATGGGATGTAACAACGTTTCACGGGTTGGCGTGTGCACCTGGCAGGGATTATTATCCTAATGGAAGTCTCTCATTGTTAGGTTCGCGAAAGCGGAGGGACCTCTCATTGTCGTCGTAGATTACGTTTCCATGTAGGAGCGAACTCCGAATGGGAATCGAAACGGGGAAACTAGGTTACGCCATAGTCAAGGCGTCGGTCATGGTGATGAACTTCGATATCACGACGTTCTGTAATTGAACATTCGCTTCCAACAATTTTGTCTTCAGCCGTACCTACAATGCAAAACGTATCTGGCACTCCTTCAACTAATCAAATCACTACAACTTCGATAAAACTGATAACATGAATTTTAGCAACTGAAATAGAAAAACAACTTGCTACATAGAATAAAATAAAAATCAGTCAGTAGAGTACATACCCCTGTTTCATGAAATATGTCAGGAATATGTAGATATTAAACGAATACTTACTGATGTATCCAAATCTGAACAAAAACCAAGTGTAGTAATAGAGACATTGTCTGTAACTATGTATTAAAACCAGCACTCCACACGTACTTAGCACAGTCATGGCCGACTGCTATACAATTCTAAGGGCCCTACAACATAAGCAGTGAAATGAAGCGCTATTTACACATATATATTACTTATAACTTATAAAAGGGAAAAAGAAAGAATATATATGTACACATATACATATACATGTATTAAAAAATTTTTGGATCAGTGTTTTTTATGTAACAAAGTGTTGCATTTATGCAATTCTGGGCAATAGGTTATAAAAGAACTTAAATAACTTATATATTATTTTGCCAAAATGTAAAAAACGCTTTATAATACTAAGCACTGTATTATAGAAGCCCACTACATGAGAAAGATACACCAAAATATTTCCATGATTTAAGAAAAAATTGGTTTATATATTATAATGCTATAAATACTTCATTCTCTTCAAACTTCAAAACGTCATAGTAAGAATATATTTCCTGTTTCCTTGAATATGCATTAAGAAAATAGTATAAATATAATATATATTTATACATAAAGGTTTTCATTGTTATATAATGTAATCATATTATTGAGAAAATGTTGAGAGATTGTATGTATGGTCATATATGACAGCCAAATACTCATTTATCACTTGCTTTATGAGATTGTTACTATACCTACGTGTACATAGCTTTGTTCGAATGCACATTTTCATGCGTTTACTTGTTAACACAAAACTTCAGGTCGTTGGTCAATTTTATTACTGAAGGAATAGTCACGTAGAGAATCGGCAAGAAAAGGCGCAGCAGTCATCGCCTATACCTACTGTTCCTTCGGCAATTTAATTACCCATTTGGTATTTTTATGTATTTTCAATGCGTTTTGTAGTATCGTCTACGCATGTCTGCTATATAAGTAGCAACGTCGCTTGTTTTCGTTCGTTTTGTTCGACGAACTTTTCAATTTTTTTTATGTTCTCTTATCCAATTTACCTATCTTTTTTCCGATCGTAGCGTGAACGGTAGAATGCATTTTTATTAAAATAATATTTAAAACTGTAAAAATGTGCACGCTTTCATCATGCAGACGCCACAAGTATTTATGTTTTAATACTGCGGTATTGTCACTTATCTTGTATCGGTGACGTGTAAAAATGTGTGGATTGCGCCGGAAGACAATAAGGAAAAGAAATTTTTGTTCTCTCTACCCATTTGAAAATTTTTTACGTTGAAGTATTTTGAAGTATTTTAAAGTAGTTTAAAATATTAATCATTCAGAATTGATAACAAGTATAAAGGGCTATATGGAGCCCCAGCTACATACGATACCAATCGTGGAAGCTACGTTAATTGTAGTTAAAAGCGTAGATTCTCAGATAGCACACGACGCCTTGAAGACCCCTTAAATGCGCCCCAGACCTAAAATAGCCGTACAATGGGCGTCTTCAAGGCGTCATATGTTATCTGGGTTTAAGGTAAAGATTTCAAGGTGATTGTTGTACTTTAACGATGGAACATGTATATAAAAACTCGTAATATTGTCTATTTCCCCTCGGACCTGTACGGCAGCTTGAAGAAATATGCGGAACTACTTACCTGACGGTGTGCTTGTGCCTCTCCACCCAATATTTGATGGCGCTCCTGACCAGCATTTCTTGTTTCTTCGTCAAACCGTTTGGCCCAACGGTTCCGTTGAACGCCGTCCCAGCTGTCGGTCGGAAGGTCGCCGTGAAATCTTGTCGCTGGTTGTAGATCCCTCGAAGATCCATATCCAGCATGTTATCACCTTGAAGATCCGATACTGGCGGTGGCTCATGGCTTTCCGCCGGATGTGACGGACTGCTAGCCTGACAAGCAGAAATCATTGACGTTTGATGGAACGATTGCCGTGTGATGTGATCGTCGCAACATTTTTTATTTCGTTCTTTGTGCGGAATTTTTAATATACAGGGTATTCCAGTTAACGCGATCACCCGAAATATCTTCATAATTTTCAGCGATGCAAACAAACAGTTAATAGAACACATGAAAGGCTCTTGGGGTTCAATAGTGGGTAGAAAATTAGACGGAAATCAGGTATATGCAGTTTCCAAGATACTTATTTTTTTTTAACCCTTAACTGGTCAGATGGAAATCTTATTATTTATTATTGGACTGCGGATTTTCATGCGAAATGACATTTTTAAAAGTAATTTTTGAAGACAACAGCTAAGGTAGGAATTTCTTTCTTCTCCTAAATATCTTATTGGGTTCAGAATAAAGTAGAAAACACATTGCATCTGACGAAAGTTTTTTTTCTTTTGTATTGTACAAAGCCCTATTGGCGATAAATGCATAAAATGGTAGTGAAAGTGTCCTAGCAATTGTGATATACTGGTATTCGTGTTACTTTTTATACTTTATTGTTTATACGACTGTTTTCTATGCGACACAAATCTTTATTCTAAAATCACCTTAAAACATAGGTGTATATAACTAAACTTGAAAGCGTTAATGGTGTAAATCAATATTTGATGAGTTTTAGTTAACGTTATAGAAAGATAGTCCCCATTCCATTCTATCTTGTGCATAAAGCAGGTCATACACGATCAACGCCTTTTTAGGATGCAGTTTAACTTTGACGGTGCTTGAAGGTATTTTTCCTGGCCTAGACCAATGCCTTCTTCGTACCACATTATGAAAAACGATCAATTTTTCGTCTCCAATAAATAGTTGTTTAAAAAGTGAGCGATGTTTATGTCGCTTTAACAAAGAATCACAAGTTTAAATGCGGTAGAGCAGATTCTTCTCCGTTAATTCATGCGGAACCCAAACATTGTACTTTATCGTACCAACTTTCTTAAAATGTAATGAAACTGAATTATAGGATTTATTTCATATGTGGGCTAATGTGTTTCTCTATCGTAGCTAATATAAGCAATAGTTTCAAAGAACACTTCTCGAAATATCTCGATTTACCGTCGTTGACAAGAACAAACTTATTACGCAACCTAATATATCAATTCTGGGATGGTCCGACAAAGATTTGTTGTAAACCTCTAGATACGTCGAAAGCATGTTTATTATCCCCGACTTGTTACGCCCATGGACGTAAATGAGAACAAAAAAATGAATAAATTCAGGATTACCTTAAACAATTCACCGCTGTTTGGCACAACGGTGTCTAGTGTCGCGCTGAACTCCATCAAAGGCTTCATGATGTCCTTCAGATGTTGGATTTGCTCGCAAGCAAAGAGGAGCCACGAGCAGAATAACACGTCGAGAAGATTTGCATCGGCCATGGCGAATAACAGGAAGTAAAATTGGAATATGAGCGTCAAAACGTGCGCCATTCCGTGGCTTGGATCGAATGGGTAATAAGAGTATAACATCAGCCTTGGTACCTGGTAAAGTTAAAAAAAAGAACACGTATATTTATCCGTCTTATTGATCGCAGACGAACAAATGCCTTTGTCCAAGCGCTATCTGTTTAGCTAGAACCATGGTGATATTGCATATGAACCATAATGATCAATATATTATTAAGCTTCATCCGGATAGAAAAGCCACCGAGGGTCTTTGATTATTTCATTAATGAAGAATATAATGATACGTATAATAAATAATTAAAAATTTAATCTTACCGTTTTACTAAATAAATGAACTAAATTAAGACAAACAAAATGTTTTTGAGTTATTAATTTCAGGTATTCTGCACTGACAAGGGAAGGCACGGAAGCGTTTCCCTCCGATTTTGATGAAACTTCATATGTCTGTTAAACAATCAAAAATGAGGGATAGGTATTTTTTTATCGGCTGAGGCGCGACTTTCAGGGGCGAAACCACCCCTCGAAATTTCGATCAAAAATGTGTTTGTTATAAACAAATTATATTTTGGACAATTTGTTAACACCATATTATTCTACATAAAAAACCACAAATCTCGTCCATTAGAAGTTTTCATGTATCTCCTCTGGTTTTCGAGATAGGACTTTCGCGTCGAAACTTCGAGGGGTGGTTTCACCCCTTAAAGTCGCGTCTCAGCCGATAACAAAAAAATACGTATCCCTTATTTTTGACCGCTTAACAGACATACGAAGTTTCATCAAAATCGGAGGGGGACACTTCCGTGTCTTCCCTTGTGAAAGCCTCTGAGACTTTTCCCTATTTCATCCTAATGAAGGTTAATTCGTTTATTAAATCTACGTTTAAAAAAGTTTTGGATCCTTTTCCTGATCAAATTCAGGACGACCTTTGGGAGGAAGTACAACATTTCCATGGATTGCCGGAAACATAATTTTGAGTAAAAAGTGCCACACGCTGCCAGGCGTTTCTTTTACATGTTGATACAAAATTTATCTCATAAGAATATTTACATGAGACTTTGCTTCTTTAAAAACTATTGTACGAATCATTATCTTTAAATTTTTTGTTCAAATAAAATACATACACTTTGAGGTATGTAACTGAACTAGTTTAAAAATAGTGTAAACAGAGTGAGACACCTGAAAGAGGCCACCTGAATATCTTGGCTGTTACTGGTGATAGAAAAAAATATGCCACACCACACTTGCATGCTATCAAGGAGCACATAGTTTGATGTAAATAGTTTTCTGATAGGTGGACACGTAGAGGTCGCATGAAGGTAAAGTTCGTTTTTCGTAAATGGAAATACATGTTTTTTTACATACCCTCGAATCATTGTACGCGTCATAAAACGCTCTAGTAGATGGTACATAAGACAATATGCCTTTCCATTTAAAAAGGAAGTATCCCGATCTTTCTGTGAGAAAGACAATCAAAACTTGCCGATCAGGTAGCTGAATGTCATTGATAATGGCGGTGATTATATCGTAGAATAGAAATTAAATTTTCATAAATACAAAATAATCATAAAACTGGTTGAACATGGCAAGGACTTATGAGACAGCTCAATATTTAAGAGAAACTGCAATCCAACAGAAGTTTACTTTGTCAAAGGTTTTATCTAATTCCAAATGGAACGAAAATTTAATTAAACATTTTTTGTACTTTTCGATATACTGATTTAAAGACAATCAGATATTGTATAGATACATAAAGCCCACAGTCCATTCATAACACTGTTCGACACTTCCGAAAATGATGGAACTAAACCTATTGTTTTGTATCAATTAAAGGTTGCTGAACATGATGCTGATTTTAGTTTTCGCCCTGCACGTCACAAGGTCGAGCTTTTTAGTCACAAATTTACGGAATGCAATGAACAGACATTCTAGTTAAGTCCTGCTCAATTGCACGCGTATCAAAACAAGTTTTCAAATTCAATTATCTCGAAAAAACAAAGCCTTAACTAAAAAAATATTATTCTTTTTCTATGACTTATTTCTGCACGTAAAATCATCACCCGGCTCGGTTTCACCACGATTTTAGGGACACCCTGTATAATATATGTTTCTTACCGCTCCATACTTACAATTAAATACAAAAATAACTCTTTACGTATAGGGTGAAAAGTGAGTATTACCATTGTATTCAACGATTCGAAAATCCAGTAAGTGAAACCCAGCTTCACTCCATCATTTTAGAATTTTCAAAAATTTTGTCGAACAGTGTAATCATTCACTCGTCAAAGAATACCTCAACGTATGTGGTCTCATTGGTGACAGGATCGACGACTTTCATCGTGGAATCGCCAATGAACGTGATGGTGGTCCACGCAATTACGCTCAGCATCGTGGTGCACATAACAGCCATTAGCAATATTCTCATCTTCTTCACCGCCAGCTGATGGAAACGGGCGTTGCTTTCGGCGAACAACGGATGGCTGTTCGGATTATTCCAGATCGCGAGCGTTCTGTAAAACAGCTTGCTCCTGATCGCGAAATAAAGTACTTTGACTACACTGTGCGTGAAGAAGAGCATCGTGATCGTGTTCGCCGTCAGTACGTCGACGTCATCACTCGTCAGCATCAGATTTATACCGCATAATCCGAACTGCAGGAGGATCAGAAACAGGTGTACCTGAGAATCAAATTGATCCGAGTGTATAAACATCCGAACCTTCTTTGGGGGTTCTTGGATGGATCGATTCGTCGATTAAAGTTCATTCGAACGAACTCACTGATCTGTATAACTGGATACGGTATATGGTATCTCAGCATAGCACAGATCTGTGATATTTCAAAATTGCTATCTTTGACAAAAAATCGTTTCGCCACCTGGCGAAGGGAATTGGAACTAATTGTAAGTAAGATTTGTTAATTCACATGGAGAAATAATTTATACATGAATTCTACATCATCTGTAATTGAATTGTTACAACAAACAACTTGTTATAAATCTTGTCATGAGTCATAAAATTCTTTATATTTGTATTTATCTATTATTCTGTGTGCATATAATTTCAATTGTAATTATACACATATTTTGTAAATATTTTCCATGTTTATACACATTCCAATTTGTAAATTAAATCAGTTAATAAATTATATTAGATTAGTACATATAAATCTATTTTTTATTCCTCGTTGTACTTATATGTATAGTATTTATACATACAGTTTATTACCAATTATTATATGTATATTACAGAAATGGTTTCATAAGTGTGAATGCCTCGTTAAATATGGTCCAAATTATATCGTGTTCGGTATCATTTTAATCAGAAAAATCTCACGAATATGCTCGTAAAAGTTTCATCGTTGCATTAGTATTGTGTCACTCGATACCCGGGCATGTAATCTTTTCTTGATTTCCCCTCGTTCAGCCGGCGGCTCGTGAAAGGGAAGCCACCGCATTGCGCCGGGAAAAAAATTATACGCTTGACTGGTTCCACGGCCCCCTTCCCCAGTGGTAGGGGTGACGACTTCACACTTATCGTGGCCCAGCCGGCTCACACTTATCGAGCCATTTCTGTGTAATAATATCATGCAGCATTTTTTTCATCGAAATTTCTCATTAATTTACGCTTTCTGTCTTTTATTACTGTACGAATTATACAAGTATAAAACGTAAACAGGCATCATGTGAACTAAAAAAATTTAGTACTGATACCCTTCGCCAGGTGGCGAAACGGTTTATTTACAAAGATGACGATTTTGAAATATCACAGCCTGTGTAGCTTATATCGTATCGTATCCAGTCATACAGATCAATGAACGAATCACATTACGGGAATACAGAGTTGAGTCACCTGACTTTATCGCCTTAAATTACTTTGAAATTGTTTGTTATATAAAACACATGTTTCAAACAAAGATTATATAGTTTAAAAAGAAGCCAACAATGTAACACTTAGATTTTTGTTATTTTTTATGAAGATCACCTAGAGTTTTTTTCTTTAATATAATGTTATGTTATGTAGGGTATAACCAAGAAAATTAACCAGTAATAATCCATATTTTTTATAATATGATAATTAACTAGTAGTGAAATCGTAGCAATACGGATCTCATGGATTCCGTATGGCAGTCAACGTGTTAACATACAGGTATGTATATACCATTCTATAGAAATGTTACGTCGACTAATGTTAATCAATATATTTACTTACGAAGCAAAAGACTTTATGTATGAACTTCGAGGAGTTATCAGTGTAGTAATTGAACATAAAGTGCCCGGTAGCTTTCATCAGTTGGATGTTGGGCATCAAGTCCGCGACAAGCCCTTGTTGCTTGAACTTCATCATCTGCGACAGAAATTCGAAAGAACTTATTATTCAACTAAAGTTGAATCTCTTTCGTAAGTGTAACCATATTAATGTTTCCCTTGGATTTTACAGAACTTTTGAAACTATCTCTATGTACGGAATGTTCATTTAGAGTTTTCGAACTTGACGGACAAGGTTACTCCTTCTACATGAAGGGGTCCTGAGTTGTAATATTAGGTCGTTCACTAGTAAGGGAACACCACGAATGCTAAGTCGCGGATTGGCATGAGATTTTGTAGGTTTGTAGAGAGATTCAAGACAAAAATAATGGTATTTTTCATTTGTGCCCAATCGCCCTTCAAGGACGTGAAAACTAACCTCAAAGTCAAATAGACACTCCCACATTTTCGCGTATAACTTTTACAGTATAAGAAATAGAGAAAAATGTTTCAAACGAAAGTTTAATGGTACAATAAGCGCTATAAACCTGTATTAACAATATCTTGAAGAGTTTCTTTTTCTTGAAAAGAATTTTTAATTTTTTAGTTAGCGTTCGCGGTGTTCCCTTTGTAAGTTCTGCGTATCGCTCGTGAGTAGTGTTAGTGTATACAGAGCTTATATTTCACACCGATTTTCCTTTATTTGCCACAAATTCACCATTTTGCTACAACAAAATACTTCGGCAATTCAGTCCTTTAGCCAGAAATATTTGTTTATTTTTCATTAAAATGACATCTGACAAAGAGCAATCATTGTATTTTGCTGTTTTATAATTTGAAGAAAACGGCAACAGAAACAAAATGATCGACCCAAGGAGCCTATGGTACTTGTGTTGTATCTGCAGACATATGTGGGAAATGGTTTTAACGAATCAAGAATGGTGGTTTTGACATATCAGGCAAAGACGCGTTCAACGACTAATAGAAATGGAAACTGAAGTTTCGGACATGTTGCTGAAGAAAGACCCGGCCCAATTAAATAGTGAAACTTGCAAATCACCTTGGAGTTGTAAAATTAAAATTAAAACAATTGTAACAGGTATTATTTTAATAAATATTTTAAGGTAAAAAGTACACAGAACTTAGTTAAGGACCTAATAATTCAAGACAACTTGGGTTATTTTAGTAAACTGACGCGAGATAGTCATATAATCCTTTTCATCTCAATCACGTGGTAACCCAGATATAGATCGGGACAAAGGTAAATCGTGCCACAAAAGTGTTACAGAGAACCCTAACTATTTTCCATGGTCGAGACTCTAGGAGAGTAATGTGGCAATGAGTTCAGAGCCCTCTCCATGCTAAGTTCTGTCATCATAGCCTTGGCCTCAACGCCTGCGCAAAAACTGGATTCTGCTGATGCGCCAGAGTACGCAATGTGGTGGGTGAGCGAATTTGTGTGCGCGAAAGTACGTGTGAAGGGGAAGTGCCTTGCGTGGCAATATGTTTAGTGGCAATATCGTTAGAGTCCACTGTATTAGGTACATTTAAATAATTAGAATTTAATGTAAATTCTACTGAATAAATAAACTCGGAAAAATTGGTCAATAAAAAAAAGGTAATAGTGAATAATTGAAGTTGCACATATAAAAACGTTGAATGTCTTTTGGCCACGGGGGTAAATATTGAGAATGTTGATTTTTAGCACTTGTTGATGAACTTCAGTTCTGGGAGCATTTCAGGCAAAATTTATGGACACTATAGCTTTAAACGAATATGTAGTAGGGAAAACACAAAAAAATTGCACAGCAAAATGAAAATTAAACAAAACTAATTTCAAGTTCTGCAACTCGATATTCAGGTACAAATATTTTTTGTAATGTAACACCATAGTATTTCATGGTGCAAGGAACAGTAATTATGTATGTAAATACTTAATTATTAACACTGGAATTTCCATATTCGTCAAAAGTTCGAATTTAAAATTTCTTATTTTACAATCAATGAAATCGTAAAGGACCTTTTGTTGGAATTTATGCTTACCTGTAATTTATTATACATTTTATATTATGTTATGTTACATCATATTATATATTATACGATTTAATTCAGTACACATTCCAAGCTGTTAATTTTTTAATTTTTTAATTTAAAGTTAATTTTTCGCTTAGCACAGGAATGTAAAAAGTATGAATATACAATTAACGTATGCGATAAAATTAATCGATAGCACATAATGGAATATCAGGAATGTTGTAACAAGTAGAAACTGCAATAATGAATGGACACGTTAACGAAATTATACGTAGAAATAATATTCGTTACGTACACATGCCAGTATACGGGGTGCCTGAGTAATCCTAGTACTACCGTGTAGGAGGGTGATAATTATATTATTCACACAAAATTAAGTTGATTACGTAGAATAAACTTTCTTCATTTGAAGCTCCGTTTAAAAAAAAATAGATTATGCAAAATTACCTACATTTCTGATTACAATAAGTAAAAACGGTTAGTAAAGGACAAACGCCCCTAGTAGCAATTACTGTTGGCATTTTGATGGGCCTTTGATGCACTATTGGTTGGCTAATTATTATTAGTGCTACAGGAAGGAGTTATAATTTAATAACTCTATTATTTGATATTCGAGAAGGAGAAAAGCAATTACCTTATTGCTTTAGAAGGATGATGCATTAGGTAAATCTCAGAAAATAGTATTATGTATCAAACGTAAGACGCCATCGAAGTAAGATACATCAAACAAATCCTATAAATGACTCAGGTATTTTATCCCAGTGATCTATTGGCTTTTTCATAATATTAAAAACTAAATATAATTTTTTTTTAAATCAAGCATATAATTAAATATATATTTGCGTGTAGGCATACGAATTTCCTGGCAAGTATAAAACAGATAAAAATAGACTGTATAATTATACAACAAAATAGTCTTTTACTTTATATAACAAGATTAATTTTTCCATAATTCTTAAATAGTATAGTGTATGTTAAATATTGATTGTAATCATAGCATAGAAGATCATTCGTCACATTTATTATTACTTTTGAATGACACCACGTAATAAATCAGCAATTGTTAACCCTACTGTTCTCCTCACTCATTCTTCACGTTTGTATCCCTTGGAATAAAATTAGATCAAATTTTGAAATGATTTGTTCTAAAAAATTGAAAATACACACAAAATAGACATGGAATTTATATATGTCAGTTACTATATAAGAAAACTGCAAAAAAATAATACTTATCGAAATAAATCTTCATTTTTTGTCATTGAGACCCGGGGAAAATAGCAGGGTTAATCTCAACCTGACGGACCCCAAACGGAATTATAATAAAGTGTTCGATAGCGTAAAAATAACTGATTTTAAAGAACACTCAGGTTCATCGATCGACATCTATTTATTAGAAGAAGGATGTCCACAAAGTTCCAAGAATATTAAAATTACTCACCACCTTTCTAGCGGGTACGAAACCAACGAAAACAAGCTCAAAACATTTTCAAAGATTCTTATTTATATCTCGAAGCCTGTTCACGGGGCACAAAACTCCACGAATCCAACAAGATCAAGCTTTAAACATTCACAAAAAAAAAAAAATACATCATTTGTATCTCAAATCCTAATCCAAGGGCCGCAAAATAGCACGAAACCAACAAAAGCAAGCTCTAAATATTCACAAAAAGAACATATGTATATCTGAAATCCTGTCCACAGGGGCACACAACAGCGCAAACCCAACAAAACCAAGTTCTGAACATTCACAAAAAGAACACATCGTCTTCGAATTCTGATCAGGGGGGTATGAAAAAGCGCGAACACAACAAAACCATGCTTTAAACATTCACAAAACGATTCCCAAGGGTGTCCCAAGGCGATTTCTGACCTTGAGGCCGGTCCAATTCAGTCACACCAATTAAATCCACAACGAGCCGCGAGATCCTCGCGTGTCCTTTAATAGGGATCCAGGTGTCACTGATTAGGGCACGCGGTATCGACGAAAACTGAGAGTACGGAGTCGGCAGACCTTCGGTCGCCGGCACGGAGGGGTTCTTCTTCGACGTCGTTCCTCCACTTCACGTTTCTTTTCTCCTTACTCCCTCGTACCGTCGTCCACGGGGAGTCACCACCTGTCGTGGCCAAGATACCCCTCCAGTCCGCGTGGGGCACCAAACGTGGACCAATCGGCGAAGGCTACCGAGGCGCAGACGTACCGGCCGGACATTGTGTTGTTGCCGGCTTTGTCGTGTGGCCATGTTGTTTCTTGTATCGTTGATATGGAGCTTTGTAATCGTATCAATTATTCAGATTTTGATGACTGCGGGTCAGACAAGCGTAAGCTAAGAGGGAGGACGAACGGCGGAGAGTGATAGGGTCTCGAGCAACGTCTATCGGAAAGTACTGTCTCGTTCGAACACTGGGGATTTCTCCACGGGTGTACTGTCCAATTGGCTGCTGCTGGAACGCTTATGAACTGACGACTTTTGATTATTGAAATAAGGTTAATTACACTGTACAACACGTAAAAAATTTTGCAATTCTCAATATGCGTTTCTGATACATCTATACGAACTGAATACGAATCTGTAAACCGTTTCTTTCCAGCATGTTTAGTTTTTAAAAAGAGTAATTTCTAAGAAAATTGCAAGTTCTCAACTTTGGAACTGTGTTGTGCTTTTACAGTAACAGTTATTCAGTTTCTTTTGACACGAAATAATGCTCTGGATTCTTCCGAACAAGATGATATAAATTGTTATTATATTATAGACATCTACATATGTTTAAATAATGTTCAAAGCGAAAAGAACACCGAAAATGCACCAATTTTAGCTGATATTCTACAATTTATTTCAATAAATAATTGTCTGGGAGAAAATTTAATCATAGCACGCGATAGAGCAGACATTTCTGCTGAGGCAGATGTCAAGGAAAATTCCAAATCTGGTTTGTGTTCAATAGAGAAGCGAAACAGTTCGGCAAAACACGCGGCGGCGGCAGTGGTACTCAATGACGGTGGTCGTCTTGCTTGCCACTAAACGTAGCGGAAACGCTAAACGCGCGCAGCCACGGCGATGCCTGCCA